CTTCCGATCTTCATTAATAACTTTAAATATTAACAGACTGAACTTCCCAGTCAAAAGACACAGACTAGGTGAATGGGTTAAGAAACAAAGCCCTTCTTTTTGTTGTTTGCAAGAAACTCATCTCACTTTCAAGGACAAACACTATCTTAAAGTGAAAGGATGGAAAAAAATATAACAAGCAAATGGTACTAAGAAAAAAGCAGGCGTGGCAATTCTAGTATCTGACAAAATAAACTTTAGACTAAAACTAATCAGAAGTGATAAAAAGGGTCACTTCATGCTGATCAAAGGAAAAATCAACTGAGAAGATATTACAATTCTGAATATATATGCACCAAACTCTGGTGATGCACCCAACTTCATAAAAACAATACTACAGGACATTAAGACCCAAATTAATCCCAACTAATTAATAGTAGGGAAATTCAGTAACCCACTGTTTCCATTAGATAGGTCAAGAAGGCAGAGAGTTAACAGAGAGACATCTGAATTGAACAATACTATATATCAAATGGACTTAAAAGACATCTACCGAGTATTCCACCCAAGCACCAAAGGAGATACCTTCTACTCAGCACCCCTCCATGGAACCTTCTCCAAAATCGACCATATACTGGGGCACAAAACAAACTTCAACAAATACAAAAACATTGAAATAATTCTATGCATTCTATCAGACCACAATGCAATAAAGCTTACAATCAACACCCGAAGAAGCCCTAATCACCACATGAACACATGAAGATTAAACAACACACTCCTGAATGATGAATGGGTCAAAAGAGAAATTAAGGTAGAAATAAAAGTATTCCTGGAATTAAATAAAAAGGGCAATACAACACGACAAAACTTCTGGGACACGCTGAAAGAGGTCCTTAGAGGGAAGTTTATAGCTCTCAGTGCCTACATCAAAAATCGGAAAGAACACAAATAAACGACTTAACATTGCAACTCAACACACTTGAAAAGCAACAGCAAATGAAACCCAAACCAAGCAGACAACAAGAAATAACAAAAATCAGGGCAGAAATTAATGAAATCGAAAGAAAGAAAGCAATACAAAGTATCAACGAATCCAAGAGCTGGTTCTTTGAAAAGATAAACAAGATTACAGACCACTAGCCAGTTAACCAAAAGAAAGAAAGAGCATTTCCAAATCAACAAAATCAGAGATGAACGGGGAAACAGATGATTTGATAGCTTCACTTCTGCCGCTCTTGCTCCAGCCACCTCCAGGACCATGCCTCCCTGCCATGACAGACTGTAATTCCTCTGTAAGCTCAAATAAACTCTTCCTTCTATAAATTTCTTGGATCAGAGTTTCTATCACAGCAATAGAAAAGTGACTAATACAGTAATTGGTACCAGGAGTGGGGTTCACACCCACACGGACATATGTCCATTGGATATGTATTAACCCCTCCTTAATCGCTTTACTCTCCTTAATCACTTTAATGTCCTTATCAATGGGATCCTCTCCATCACATGCCAGGGCTCCAACATTTATCTTCCTAGTGCTCTTTTTTGATCCAAACTGTATTTCTTTCTGCCACATTTGCTCTCTTTTACTGTAGATCTGTATAATACTCACCATTAATAGCCATGCCACCATTTCTACATTAGGCTTTCTTGAAATTTCTTCTGTCAGAGAAATTAGTCCATTGCTTTTCAACATAGCCTCAGGCAAGCTTTTTGGTTGAGGGCAGACTCCAGCCAGACTTTTTGCCAAAATATCCCAAGTGCTGCTTAAGTCCTTATTTCCCCCTGGAACTGCATTGTTCTCAGCACTACTCTTCCAGGCATTTACTAGAATGGCCTGTTAAGCTCTGCTTACAGCAATCACCACATCTCAAGCCCAAACTTCCAAACTCTTCTACATTTTTCAAAAACCCCACATGGTCAGGTTCTTCACAGCCAACAGCCCACTCTCTGGTACCAGACAAAGCTGTCCGTTATCTCCAGTCTTCTTTAAGATAGTGCTTGAAATTCTTGCAAAAGCAATAAGACAAGAGAAGGAAATTAAAGGAGTAATGATTGGAAAAGAAGAGATCAAATTATCCTTTTTTTGCAGATGATATGATAATATATCTAAGGGACGCCAAAATTCCACCAGAAAACTCTTAGAAATTATTAACATGTTCAGTAAAGTGGCAAGTGTCAAAATTAACCCACAAAAGTCTGTAGCCTTTCTATATACCAATAACAAGCAATCAGAGAAAGAGCACATGGAAACACTCCTCCACAACAGCTGCAAAAAAACCCAAAATATCTTGGAACAAACCTGACCAAAGACATTACAGACCTCTACAATGAAAAGTTTAAATAGTTAAAGAAAGAGACTGAAAAAGAGATCAGAAGGAAGTACATTCCGTGCTCATGGATTGGAAGAATTAATATTGTGAAAATGACCATCCTA